TTTAAGTGAGCTAAATTAAAATAGATTTTATTTTAGTTACATATGAAAATCTTTTAAATTTTATTTCCTGTAGAAATGGCGATGGCAGAGCTGTACTTCGTTCTTCGGTGAGAGAATTTCTATGTAGGGAGACTATGCATTATCTTGGAATCCCAACTAGGAGAGCTGCAAGGTAGTTCCTGTTTCCCTGGAATTAACTGGATCATGTTATCTTTAGAAATGAATCAGTAAATTGAGCGGATAAATCTCAGATGGCATGATTTTTTATAGTTTCTGTCGTTTCAAGTCCTTCTTGATAGCTGATTTACTATAATAGAATGGTACTTTTTCTAATAGAGAAGCTCTGGCGGCATAGTGAGTAAGGCATTTGGTCTAACCAGAAGGCTGGCAGTTCAAAAGCCACCAGCTGCTCCACAGGAGGAAGATGAGGCAATGTACTTCCATAAATATTTATAGTCTTGGAAACCCAGTGGGGGTTGCTGTGAGTCAGAATCAACTTGATGTCAGGGAGGGTTTTTTTTCTCCCCCTCTGGCTTTTTGAATGGTGGCTTAATGAAAAAATGAGAGGCCTATGCTAGAGTGATTTTGTTAATGTCTGTATTTGATTTCATTTTTCTTACATATTTCAATGAGGAATTAAAGGGCAAATTGTGATTTTTTTTTTTAAAGCTTTTACAGACCAGGATTTTAGTGTCAGACTTGGATTTAAAAACCAGGCTCTGCCACTTACTAATTACATGTCTTCTGACAATATCCTGTACAACAAACTACCATAAATGTCCTTTGTTGTAAAGGTTAAATGAAATATAAGGTGATCAGCATGGTCTGGTTCAGAGTAATGTTCATTAAATACTGGTTATTATTACATTAGTAACTTCATGAAATGGTGTTCTTGATACTGTTTGTATCTATATGAATAGCTTTTGACACATATGTCTATAATTATGAATATCCTGAGACCACTAATTTGTGTTCTGTTATCTTTATAATTACACAAGTAGTGGAGATTAAGTAGATATTACTCAAAGATTAGAACTCTTTTTGAACAGGGAACATAACTTTGATTCTCTTAATTTTAGTGTGATTGTAAGTGATGATGATGTATGGAGAGATCAGTTTTACAATGGAAATTTTATGAAAGAACGAGGTAAGATCTTAAACATGTACTGGGTTTTTCAAGATGTACTTTCAGCATTTCAGTATTGTAATAAAATATACTTTCCCATGTCCTGAATGTATGTTATAGTGTCTGGTCTTAAGGAACATACAGTCTTTGCAGAGAGAAGACACAGAACAATGAACAATAAATTATCAGAGGACAATAAAGGGAAGATCATTTTAGTTTTGTGGAGAAGGTAGGAATAGATCTTGAGCATAAGATAGGGTAGAATTTAAGTAGGGGGAGAAGAGGGAATCGAGTGTGCAAAGCAGGGGAGAACAGCACAAACAAAAGCCTGTAAGTAGAAGTAAGTATGTTAATGTGTTGAGGGACAGGGCCAGCAGAGCAGAAGGTTCTGCTGTAATAAACATAGAGTGTGTCACTCTGCTATAAACTTTATCTTGACATCTAAAAACAAGTACACTTTTTTTTATAAGAATGAAACATGAATTGTATTTACTGATTATATTAGGAATATCTATAATCAAGAAAGAAGAAAGCTAAAAACAAAATTATGGGTTCATTTTTATTTCTTCAGTACATGCATAAGTTAGAACATATTCAAACATTTATTTCTTCTGGGTAATTTTGAATTTGCTACACTAATGGAAAGGAGCTCTGGTGGCACAGTGGTTGAGGCATTCAGCTGCTAACCAGAAGGTCAATGATTTGAATTCACCAGCTACTCCATGGGAGAAAGATGAGACAGTCTGTTTCCATAAAGATTTACAGCCTTAGAAACCCTATGAGGCAGTTCTACTCTGTCCTTTAGGGTCACTGTGAGTCAGAATTCACTTGATGACAGTGGGTTTACACTAATGGAGGGCAGTTGCAATATAATTTATTCAGAACAAGTAATTCAATAATTTCCTATTTTAGTATGAGGTTGTTCTGGTTACCTAGTGCTGCTCTGACAAGAATATACCACAAATGGGATGGTCTTAACAAATAGGAGTTTATTCTTACAATTTGGAGGCTTTAAGTCTAAGTTCAAAGTGCCAGGCTCTAGGGGCTGGGTGAAAGCCCCTCAACCTTGGGGTCCGGCTCTGCCTCCTGCTCCTGGCCCACTGGAGCTAGAGGCGTTTCTTCACTCAGCTGCTGGCTGCTGAGGCTGAGAAGCTCCAGGGTTGACAAGTAAAAAGGCACAGTCCTGATGTTACCAAACCACACTGCAGGCCATTAACTTTTAAGTCCATTGTAAGTCCCATGGTCAGCAGAGCATAGCAGGCTGCTGAGCAATGACACGACCACATGCAGGGTCCAAGCATCACAGGTTAGAGACCATTCACAAAGCTTCTCCTTATAAACAGGAAACAGAACACATACCCAAAGCAGCTGCTCAGCTGCTTGTGGTAGATCCCACCATGGAGTTGATTTCTAGTCTCATCATGGAGAATAACTACGACCAGCTGCCTAGCCACTCAACCAGGTCCAGCCAAGTGACACACAAACATAACCACCACAGAGGTACAGGGGAAAAATCAAGGGTTTCTGGTGGCATAGTGCCTAAGTCATCTGACTGCTAACCAGAAGGTTGGTGGTTCAAATCCACCAAGTACACTGTGGAAAGAAGATGAGCAATCTCCTTCTGAAAAGATTTACTGCCTTGGAAACCCAATGAGGGTCACTGTGAGTTGGAATCAACTTGATGGCATTTTTTTTTTTTAAGTTTAGGGATCTGATGGTGGAAGCCTAATAACCTGGTAACCTTTACCTAGGTTGGAGCCCTGGCATTTCTAAAAGGTTGTGGTTCCTAAAATTCTAACTGATTCAGACTTAAAGTAATAGAAAAAAGTGCTCAATCCTTTATAGGGTGTAAATTAGTTGTTTTTCTGATAAATTTCAGTTACTATATTTCTTTTTTATTCCAATAATTTCACTTTTAAGGAAATCATATTGTGCTATATTCATATAGCTTTAAAAAGTTTTATGCTTAAATAATAACAATATGTTTTCATTTTAAGGTGCAGGTTTTTTTTTTTTTTTGCGTGTTGCAAAATCATGGTTCAGAATTGGATCATTAGAAATTTTGACTCATTATGGTGAGCTGGATTTACTAAGGTTAGAAAATTATATTTTTTCTAAATGAGAGAAGACAGTTGGGAAACTATTCTTATTTACACACTGTGAAGTTAGTTGTTTTTTGTTGTCTTATGAATAAAACTAAGAATTTCAATTAATAAATATTTTTAACACTTGCTATATGCTTAACAGGAGCCCTGGTGGTGTAGTGGGTAAGCGCTTGGCCCCATGGGAGAAAGATGAAGTAGGCTGCTTCCAAAGATTGCAGTCTTGGAAGCCCTGGGCAGGTCTGTGCTGTCCTGTAAGGTCGCTCTGAGTCAGAATTCATCTCATCAGCAGTGAGTTTGGTTTTTTGGTTCATGTGCTTGACACCATGTGAGTTTTCTAGGAGACAAAAAAAAAAAAAAAGTTTGAGTCTCTTTCTCAGGGAATAAATGATCTAGTACATATTTAGACCACTGCAGCTAAAAACCTTTATGCTACTTAGGGATCTAGGTGGAATTGACTCAAATTTCCTCATTCTGCATCCTTAAGAGAGTCAAAGTGCTCCTGATTTCTGCCATTTCTTGGGTGCTTCCTCTGTTTCATGTCTCTTCTTTACCTGGACTCTCATTTGACAAGTGTGATGGTACCTGTTTCACACTGAGTTGACCCAGATGTGAAGCTCAGCCCCATTACAGGAAGAAAGCAAACAAACAAAAAAGACTAACTTTATGAACAGAGTACTCTTTACTGAAGATTTCTGAGGGAAGGCAGAGGAAGGGCTATTTCAAGGGGGCAAAAACAATTAATTCTTCCCAAAGCATATTTGCAACCCTAATATTCTTCTGGATACTATCTTGTCCAAAGCAATCAACAAGAACAGTTAGTCAGTTAACTAGAATACCCAAACCAAACCAAACCCGCTGCCATCGAGTACATTCTGACTCATAGCAACCCCCACTGGGTTTCCAAGGCAGTAAATCTTTACGGATGTAAAAGGAAGATTGCCCTGTCTTCCTTCTGCAGAGTGGCTGGTGGGTTTGAACTGCTAACCTTCTGGTGAGCAGTTAAATGCCTTAGGCACTGCACCACCAATGCAAAAAAAATGCAACCACTTCTGTGGAGTTGGATCCCACTCACAGCGACCCCTCCTTGGGTTTCTGAGGCAGTATCACTACAGAAGTAGATTGCCCAACCTTCTTTCTGAGGAGTAGCTGGTGGGTTTGAACCGCCAGCCTACTGCACCACCAGAGCTCCTTAATTAACTGGAATAAACCAAAACCAAATCCACTGCCATCGAGTCAGTTCCGACTCACAGTGACCCCCATTGGGTTTCCAAGGCAGTAAATCTTATGGAAGTAGATTGCCTAGTCTTCCTTTCATAGAGTAGCTGATGGGTTTGAACCACGAACCTTCCGGTTAGTAGTCAAATGCCTTAGGCACACACCACCAGTGCTCTTTTAATTAACTATAATACTTGGTTAAAATAGGGAAAAAATATGATAGATGTATGATACACAGTACTTTAAATATTTAACTTAAGACATTTACCAATTGTTGTCACTTCATTTGTGAAGTCTTAATGACCCTCCACACATAAATAATCATTCTCTAATCTGTTACCTCTATACTTTTTTTGCTGTGTCTGTTACTGCACTTATTACTGAAATATTACTATTTTTTCATACGTACTTCTGTCTTGATAGACAATGTGCTCTTTGAGGTTTGAGTCTGTATCTTGTCATTCTTATTTTCCTAGCAGTTTCACAGGGCATGGCATACATGCTCAATGAATGTGTATTGAACTCATCTGTTTCTATATTGATGCTCAGTGAACTTGTATTGAACTCATCCACTTTTATAACATAATAAGGTAGAATCTAATGTGATCCTTGAAACACATTTCCATAATTAACTGTATTGAGGAAATATTTTTAACTTTTTTTTAAATGAATTTTATTGAAATATAATTTATGTACTGTGAAATATACAAAACTAGAGTGACATTGGTCAATGCATTTTTCTTTTCTGTGGGGGGGTTAGTGTTCCCTTCGCTCCCCTCCCACGGCTGGCAACCAACAAATTTTCCATCCATATATAAACCTTTCCTTTGCTCTCCGCAACAGTGAACTAATACTATATTTGTCCTTCTGTGATTGACTTATTTCACTCAGCATTATGTCCTCCAAGTTCATCTGCAGTGTTTTGCAGACTCTACATTATTCTTTAGTGCTGCATAGTGTTCCATTATGCGTATGTACCATAGTTTGGTTATCCACTCTTCCGCTGATGGGCGCGTAGGTTGTTTCCATCTTTTTGCTATTGTATATAATGCTGCGATGAACATGAGTGTTCATATATCTGTTCCTGTCCTGGCTCTTACCTCTCTAGGATATATACCTAGTAATGGGATTGCTGGTTCAAATGGTATCTCCAATTCCAGCTTTCTAAGGAATCGCCATATTACTTTCCACAGTCTTTGTATCACTTCACAGTCCCACCAGCAGTGTATGAGTGTCCCAGTCTCTCCACATCCCCGCCAGCATTTATTATTTTCTGGCTCATTGAACCTTGCCATCAATGCTAGGGTGAGACAGTATCTCACTGTTGTATTGATTTGCATCTCTCTGATGGTCAATGATTGTGAGCTTCTCTTCATGTATTACCTAGCCACCTGAATATCCTCCTTGGTGAAGTGTTTGTTCATTTCTTCTGCCCATTTTTCAATTGGATTGTTAATCCCTTTGCTGTTGAGATGTTGGAGTTTTCTATAGATCTTAGAGATGAGTCCCTTGCCAGATATGTAATTATCGGCAAATATGAATTTGTTGCTGTCATTTTTGTTACGTGCTTTTTCGTGGTGTTGATTTCTTTGTTCCATATAATTTTCTATGCTGAGCTCGTTTTGTTTATGAATTGTTTTATCACTTCCTTCGTTTCTTATTGTTTTGGTATTTGCTAAATATTTGTGCTGGTCCTCTTTTTTTCTTTTGATGTGAAGGTTTATCATTTTTCTTTG